ATTGAATCAATCGACCGTATGCGATGAAATCTAGAACGAGACTGTTCATTTGTTTGATTTCGACCCACAATAATTCTAATGACTAATTTATTACGTCATCCTTTCAACCGATTAAAACCCGAATACGTATGACTAATTCCTATATCAATAGTAAGTGCACGGAGTGGGGTGAAAATAAATTAATATACAGTGTCACCGATGAAGTCCGCATCATATGGAATTTTTTTATTATTCAATTTGTGCAAATCAGGATTTTATGAACAGTTCTTACTTTGGAAATAATGCAAGATGAAGTTCATGATTGATTTCGATCAATATAAATAGTCAAGAATTCCATCTCTTCCAAATATAAACGATTTTAAAGTGGCACATTTATTCATTATTAGCTGAAAGGACATATCTATTGAAATTTCCTGATACATGTCGATCTACGATATCAATTTTCATAAACTATTGTATTTTTTCCCCCCCTGTATAATTTGAAGCAACGTGTGGTACGTTTTTGGAATCAGCTCGGTAGGGGAAATCCGAAAATTTAATGAAAATGAGGCATCCCATTCGAAAACCTACTGAAAAGTCATCACACAATATTTGTTGATTCTGTTAATAAGATTATTATTTTGAAAACAGTAAATTGAAATCAATAATCGACTTTTTCAACCTATTTTATTCACGATTTCATCAGTTTTTATTCTGGAAATAATATGAAATGGAGTTGGCGACTTTATTTTTATCGAAACCTGTCAATACAGGATACAGGGTGTTTTAGTTTGCAATCAACATGCCTTGGAAATTGAAATTATTTGAAGTTTGATTTTCTTCCTTATATCCGTGAAAACAAAGTACCTAAAATCACTTTCCAAATCTCATGTACATTTTATAGTTGAGTTAGTTCTGTTATATATTCTCGTTTTTCAAAGTGCAAGTATCGTAAGATGCATGGAAATTTGCTTTCAGTGTTTCATTCTCAGTGAAAATACCAAAAAACTACAATTTCACTATTCTTTGGACGTAGAGGTATGAAGATTTGATAAGATAATATACCTTCTGCTTCAGAAGATACTGAAATAAATGGGAGAAACTCCCTGTATGTTAATTTGAAAATATACATTCGTACTATTGAATGATTTCAAGGCCATCATCTGAGGTTGCCATGACGTTTAGTAATAGCCAATTGTAGCAAGATAACAAAAATGATTCTTGTACTTATTTGTTATTCCATTGAATTTCATGCGTTGAACACGGTGTAACAAATTTCGAATAGTTTTGTATATGCTTTTAAGCACTGCCAACGTCTCCACAAGATGAAGAATGTTTTTTGCAAGTTTGCAACTCATTTCAATACCAATTCAGCAACGTCTCAATAAGTGAATAAAACGAATTATTTTATAAATACTGTCTGTAGGTTAATCGAGGAGGTGGTACATTTTACTTGATTCTTTTGGGATTTTCTCTCCTCGTTTCAATAACGAAATCCACCACATCAGAGATGTTCTTCGACTTCTTCACCAAATTGAGAACAAACAAAATACACCACAACAAAAACAACCATCAATAACGACGAATATAATACCTCTAGTTCACTTATTTTCAAACCGATTTAAAAATTCGAAGAATACTCAAAAATCAAAAATGATTTTTCAAAATTTTTTTTCCGTTGCATCAGAAAATACAGGGTGCTCGGAACAAATGATCTACAGAGATAGTAAATCAAAAGTTATGATACGGACATGAAAGCCGGTTTGACCGATAATGAATAGTTTCGTCTCAAAAAAATTCTAAAGTTGAAAAATCTCGATTTTGAACACCCTATATCTCTGTAATCATTCCCGCTAGACCCCAAGTGTGATACATTGATCAAATCAGCTCTTCAGGGAGAATCTAAAAATTTAATGAAAAATAGCGTGTTCCATATAAAAAATCAAATAGTACCCTGTAGATCGTATGTTCCGAGCACCCTGTATTTTCGGATGTAGCGAAAAAAAACTTTATCGAAAATCATTTGAGATGATATTTCGAATTTTGAAATCGGTTTGAAAATAACTGATCTAGAGGGGGGGGGGACATTTATGGTGAATCACCCTGTACATTCCCGGCATATCTGAAAAAATAAAACGTGTTGGTGTGTGTTCAAAACTGAAAATACAATGAGATCCATTCTAACTCAAACAAAGCCAAAAAAATGAAGAACAATCATCAAAAAATTGTATTTATAGTATACCTTGTGTTTGTGGAAAGTATTATACAGGTGAAACGAAAAGACCTCTCTCAGTATAAGGACTAAAGAACACAAGTCCAATATCAAGGAAAGACATATCTAAATCGGAACTAACTGAACATATCCTTACTAAAGATGGACAACATATGGCAGAGTGGAATAATATCAAAATCATAGGAAAGGAAGATAACAACCGAATAAGAAAAATCAAAGAATCCGCTTGCATTCTTCTAAACGGAGACAATAGCATTGCTTCCTGTTTAGTTGATATAGATAGAACATGGTGTTCACTACCGAAAACTGAACATGAAAATGGTAGATTTAAGATCAATTAATGAAAACATCCTGTAACTCATTTGTAGACTAAAATCACTCATTCATATGCCAACATCATATGACACTGAAAAGTGTCAAACTAAAAGCAGCACAACTTTCAAAGAAACATATTTTGCATTTAAGATAAGTAAAAATTCGATATTTTTCAATATATCTATATTTCTTTCCTTCAAACATTTTTTCAAACAAATTGTCACCGACAAGCTACTGGATTTTTCTTCTAGACTTCCTGATAGAAAAATTTGTTAAACGCAGTGACATTTTGGGGAAAATCATCTGATTTGTCCCTCTACAAATATTGAAATAATACGCCTATATTTATTTTATTATTTTATAGAAACGAGAGAAAATTCCAAAAAATCAAGTAAAATGAATTATTTCATCCTAATCGAATACGAAATTTCAACTCTACCTCAAGAGAATAGCGAATATTTTCGCAACTTGCTGCATTCATCCATTTAGTTCCTCTGTATATATAGGGAGGAAAACGAATTTCATTTTTTTTTCATCGTTATTTGGAAAAATATCGAAGCAAAATACCAACCACGTGATGAATACTTTCATATTTATATATTGAAACACTTACCATCTTGAAAAAAAGACAACTTTCACACACTCAAATGAAAACACAATCACAAATCGAACACAAATTTCAATTTCGAGTTATTTTTCTATATCACTTCAATCAACCGTGCGCGATGAAATCTAGAACGAGACTGCTGATTTGTTCGATTCATCATTTTAAATGACTAATTAGTTACGTCATCTTTCTAACCGATTAATTCGTGAACAATGAATTTTTATCTATGACAAAAAATGATGTCGGAAATAGGGGGTGGAAATGCGAAATTCATTATACATATATGTATAAGGTACTGTCGGGTAATAAGGCCATGTTAACAGGAAATATTTTTGTAATATTGACATATTAATATTATCTAGACACAAAAAAATCCTAAAGTTGTTAAATCTTGATTTTGAACACCCACTACAGTGTCATTCATAAAGTCGGCATCATATGGGAAAAACTTTTATTAATGACTTATTTTGGAATTCGAGTTGAACGTTAAGTTTTGCTTCAAAAAAGATGAAAAATGGCCTACTCAATCGGGGTCACGTGACTTTCGCTACATGTCAAAAGTGACATTATTTCAAACTAATCACTGAAAGTAGGCTTATTTGTTCGAATATCAAAAAAGTTTACTTGAAAAAGTTGTTTCTATTTCAATTTTACACATGCTTCTCGAATTTTATCTTTCTATTGCAACTTTTCGATTTTGATTTATTTTTTAATTTTGAGAAATTTCTGTAGGTAATATTTGACGAATTGTTAATTCCACGAAACTACTTCATACCAGTAGTTTTTTCATGCTACTTTCAATTACTTATTATCACTGATTATGGACAGAAATATGATTTTCTTCAGAAAATGATAATATCCGCTTCCAAATTCTGTTATATTTGATGCAAAGTTGATATATCGTCAAGCATTTAGAAACGCCATTCATTTAAACTGATCTTTTCAGTACTGAAATAATGAATTTAAATGAATTTCGTTTCTAAATGCTTGACTCAAACATAACAGAATTTTGATGTTATGTTTGCATCAAACATAACAGAATTTTGAAGCGGAGATTATCATTTTCTGAAGAAAATATTTTGTCGATAATTAGTGATAATTAGTAATTGAAAGTAAGTAGCATGATGAAGCTACTGGTATGAAGTAGTTTAATCGAATTTACAATTTTTTTAATATTACAGAAATTTCGAAAATTTTTGAAGAATATCGAAATCTAAAAAATGTAATAGAAAGATAAAATCCGAGTCACATTTGTAAAATTTAAATAGAAACAACTTTTTCAAGTGAACTTTTTCGATATTCGAACAAATAAGCCTACTTTCAGCGATTAACTTGAAAAAATTTCACTTTTGACATGTAGCGAAAGTCACGTGACCCCGATTGAGTAGGCCATTTTTCATCTTTTTTGAAGCAAAACTTAACGTCCAACTCGAATTTCAAAATAAGTCATTAATAAAAGTTTTTCCCATATGATGCCGACTTTATGAATGACACTGTATATCTCTGTAATCATTTCCGATAGACCCCAAGTGTGATATATCGGTGAAATCAGCTCTTCAGGGAGAACCTAAAAATGCGATAAAATACAGCGTGTTCCATTTTAAATATCAATGTTGCTACTACTTTCTAGTAGAAGCGGCGACACTGCAATGTCGAAAATATTTCAAATGAAGGGAGCGTATTCTTAAAAATGAGCAAGCACATTAGCATGGATTTCTCTCGACTGATTCTTGATATAGAGAAAGTGTAAGTTCGTCGTGATATACCCTGTATCTATCTATTACAACTCCTAATTCTGAATATTCGAATTTTGCGCGCTCGTGTGTCCGTGTTTTTGTATGTAAAATACGTGGTAGTGGCATTGAACTAAACAGAACCAACCAGATCGAGAAAAAAGCTGTCTTAAACAGAACAAAAAATCAACAACAAAAAGTTCGAGCTGGTGTCGTCCCATCAGCACCGTACTTTAGTTTCTACATCACTGTACGTGCAATGATCAAGACATTCTGCATCGTACAAAGCAATAAGTACTAAAGACGATAGATCGAAATTTTCCAAAAAATTTACTCGATATTTGTGCAACGCTCATTCTGCCGCAAATATCCCTCTGGAAAAAAATGACGAAAAACCAGGAAGCAACCGCCGTTCAGAACAACGATAAGATGGCTCTGATTGACGAAGATGAAAATACGCAGATGCACTATTCGGCTGCCCTGGGCAAAACTGAAGATTTCGATTCGTCCATGACTGGAAAGCTGAACGTGGAAAACTACCTGGGCTGGACGCCTCTGATGATGGCGTGCCGAAACGGGCACGTTAGCACCGTCAAGGTGCTCTTGGATCTGTCTGCTGACGCTACGAAGAAGAATAAGTTCGGTGAGTATACTGGATGTCTGATTTATTTTAGTGAGTTTGTAAATTGCCGACCAGCAAGTACCGAGCGATACGTTATGAAGTATTCCCCCACCCTCTGTATCCCTTTTATTTTTGACATTAGAAAAAAAGGTAAAACTGCATTTATCATGCGATGGGTTTTTGAAAGTTCGAAATTTCGCCTTCTTTTTCGCCTTGTGTAGGATGTATGTATGTATGTACTTGCTCGTTTTATTTTGTCCTTGGACACTTTATATAGTCATGATGTACTTCAATGACACATTTTTATATAGAAGATTCAACAGGAAATATAATTTTTATGGCGAGTTTTCCATATTTAGTGAACAATCATACCAGATGAGGGCCATTTAATCAATAGTCAATCCAAATACGAGATGTCAAATGTCAACAGATTGCTTTTGAATGACATTACACACGCCATTATTTCAAATGATTTTCTTTCTTCTACCCACTGAATATGGATAAATCGCTAGAAAATCATATTTCTAGTTGACTCATATAATAGAAAAAAATGTGTCGTACATTGGGATATTATATAAATTGTCCAATGATGAAAAAGAAGGGCAAATTGTTCTAAATGCGATTCAGAAGACAGGCGGAAAAGAATGTGAAATTTATAACTTTTTAGTGAAATATCTTGATAAATAATGGTTTGTTCATATTTTCATTATCAAATTCGTGTTTTTCAGACAAAAATACGTAAGTACCAAAAAAAATTCCGAAAAAAAAACCATCGCTTGGTAAATTCACTATTACCGAAAAAAAAAAAAAATTGAAAACAAATACATTTTCACTATTCGAAAAAATATACAGGAAACAGCAAAAAGTGTATACATTTTGAATAGAACACCCTATATATTTACTCGCTATTGGAAAGACCTTTCAAAGAGCTTTCCAAAACTATACCTCACCCAATATATTTATCTCCTGTATTTCTCAAAATATGGGCTTTCAAAACTAACAAAGTTTGATTGATTTTCAATGATTTTCGAAAGTTGGCTTTGTCAATAATAACAATATTGATTTTGATTGATATAGCGAATATACCAGGATTTGCAATCATTGTCATGACGTTTTTTCGAAAATCGTTCAAAAATCGATCACACTCCGTTATAGTTTTGAATGCCCATAAATTGAGATATAAAGAAGATAAATTCGATATATATATATACAGTGTGTCCCACTTTGAGCAGAACCACCTTGGTATTTTCATAATCGCTGACAGATTTAAAAAAATTTGTGTTTCAACATTAGTTCTACATTTCTGAGTATCCAACACTCTGATTGCACTACGACACGGCCAACTATGATAAATTGAAAATGTCTAAAATCAGTTAGTGATATCAGGAAATTTTTCAGCGGAAAACTATGACATTCTCAACATGTTGAGAACTCTCTCAAATACATGTGGACAATAAATAACGCCCTGTATAAGATATCAAGATGAAAATTTGACCAGATGTATTTGAGGGAGTTCTCAACATGTTAAAAATGTCAGTTTTCCGCTGAAAAAATTCCTGATATTACTAACTGATTTTAGTCATTTTCAATTTATCATAGTTGGCCGTGACGTAGTGCAATCAGAGTGTTGGATACTCAGAAATGTAGAACTCATTGAGAATTACATGTTGAAACACAAAATTTTTGAAATCTGTCAGCGATTAAAAAAATACCAAGGTGGTGCTGCTCAAAGTGGGACACACTGTATATATTGAGTGATGCATTTTTGGAAAACTGTCACACAATTTCGGCTGCTCCCTGTATATCTTCCCAGATAGTGAAAATCTTATGTTTCGTGAAGGAAAAAAATCCCCTGCATTTTATTTGGACACCTCCTATAGCTCAGCTATCTTTCAACTTAGAGAAAAAGTAAAAACTATGAACACATTTTTTTTTCACGTAGAGAGTCCAGTGACATCGTCATATTTTCAGTTATTCAGATATATTCCAAAGTTGTGTTTTTTTACATTTAAAACACTGATGCTTCGCCCTTTTCAAAAATTAAAGCCGTAGAAAAAGTATAGTGTATAACTCGCACGAAATACTAATTTCCCTGCAACTCATACTGCAAACTCCATATTCGTGTGGAATGACTGTAATTCCGTGTGCTCGTTGAACAATATACCATTTCCTAACTAGTGCTGAAAAATGATACTGATTTTGAATTCCACAGGCACTTCTACCTTCTTGATAAGCATCTCGAGCGGCAAGCTAGAGATCGTGACGATGATTTTGAATAATCTTTTGACTGGTGGGATATCCAGAAGGTGTCTGCAGAACACCCTGTCGCCATTGTCGTTGGCCATTTTGTTTCGACATCAGGACGTACTGGAATATTTGGTCGGGCAAAAATTTGATATCAACGCTGCTACCCCTGTGACAGGTTCGTATACCAATTTATACAGGGTGATTAAGGGTAACACTGGAACACGAACGACAGGAGTCATGCTTTTTTTCATTATTATACAGTGTCATTCATAAAGTCGGCATCATACGGGAAAAACTTTTATTAATGACTTATTTTGAAATTCGAGTTGGACGTTAAGTTTTGCTTCGAAAAAGATGAAAAATGGCCTACTCAATCGGGGTCACGTGACTTTCGCTACATGTCAAAAGTGACACTTTTTCAAATTAATTGCTGAGAGTAGGCTTATTTGTTCGAATATCGAAAAAGTTTACTTGAAAAAGTTGTTTCTATTTGAATTTTACATATGTGACTCGGATTTTATCTTTCTATTACATTTTTTAGATTTCGATATTTTTTAAAAATTTTCGAAATTTCTGTAATATTAAAAAAATTGTAAATTCGATAAAACTACTTCATACCAGTAGCTTCATCATGCTACTAACTTTCAATTACTAATTATCACTAATTATCGACAAAAATATGATTTTCTTCAGAAAATGATATAATCTCCGCTTCAAAATTCTGTTATGTTTGATGCAAACATAACATCAAGATTCTGTTAGGTTTGAGTCAAGCATTTAAAAACGAAATTCATTTAAATTTATTTTTTCAGTACTGAAAAGATCAGTTTAAATGAATTTCGTTTCTAAATGCTTGACGATATATCAACTTTGCATCAAACCGCATCAAACATAACAGAATTTGGAAGCGGGTATTATCATTTTCTGAAAAAAATCATATTTCTGTCCATAATCAGTGATGATAAGTAATTGAAAGTGAGTAGCATGAAAAAGCTACTGGAATGAAGTAGTTTCGTGGAATTAACAATTCCTCAAATATTACAGAAATTTCGAAAAATTGAAAAAAAAATCTAAATCTAAAAAATGCAATAGAAAGATCAAATTCGAGAAGCATGTGTAAAATTGCAATAGAAACAACTTTTTCAAGTTAACTTTTTTGATAATCGAACAAATAAGCCTACTTTCAGCGATTTATTTGAAAAAATGACACTTTTGACATGTAGCGAAAGTCACGTGACCCCGATTGAGTATGCCATTTTTCATCTTTTTTAAAGCAAAACTTAACTCGAATTCCAAAATAAGTCATTAATAAAAGTATTTCCCATATGATGCCGACTTTATGAATGACACTGTATGATATTCATTTCGACATATCACTCCGAGTATCACTCCAAATGAAGTCAGAAAAAAATAAAAATGAAATCGCGGATATTCGTTTTTTTTTTTCGAATATCTTCGGAAGTATTCGGAATTTTGAAACTTTTGAGGCGGCATTTTGATCAGCATCAAATTGCGCAACTTTGTCATTATTTAACGGACCCTGTATCTCTTACGGTTTAATGATGAGCCTCGAATTCCAGCCACCCTGTACACCCTGTATACATATGTTTTGGGAATTTTCTTTGAATAAAAAGAGAACACCGTGTATACTCACTGTTTTCCAGGCATAACCCCTCTGATGTTCGCCTCTGCAATGGAAGACTGTCCCGCCTACACCCTCTTGATCAAGAAAAAAGCTGACACTACCATGAAAAACTGCCTAGGAGCGACAGCAGACGAAATAAAACAGTCGAGGAACCAGAAGAGGGCCCCCCAGAAGGAAAAAGAAACGAAACCTCTCACTCCCGCCGAGCTGATCTCCATGAGCCCCCACATGAACGCTTTCAGGCCCCCTTATTACTTTATCAGCCCCCAAAACTCCTTTATACTGGTCAGCCCCAATCCCGTCGTGCAACTCAGGAAGTCTTCCAACGCCCAAACTCCCTCTCCTAATATCGTTATGGCCCCGAATGTGACCCCGATCACCCCCATGGGGTGCGGCCCCCAGTTTTTCTTTCCTCCGGATTTCGTGGGGGGTCAGCAGTATTGCGGAGCTGTGCCTTGTAGTCCGTTTGGGGAATTTTTGAATGTGAGATTGAATCAGTCGTCGGGTATGTTTTTGTCCCCGAATGTGGTTAATGATAGTAGTTGTGCAACACCCTGTGTGTAGGTTTTTACTGAAATGAGTTTTTTTTTTCAATTTGACAATTATTTTTTTATTGTATTTTACTGATTTGATTGATTTTAAATAAATACGTTTTTAATTTTATTTGTATTTTATTATTCGAAATAGAACATTGATTTATTAGGATTAAATGTGACCCTTTGTTTGACTAGCGATATTTTGGTTTGGGTGTCACTTTTGTTTGATCCAAATAAAACATGCTAATTTTACTGCAATGGAAATAATTAATATATGTTATTAATAAAATAATAGCAGACCTCACAAACGTTTTGCTATACACATTATTTTTATAATATATTTTTTCAGTTCAATATTCATCAATACATTATTATTATTCTATTTTCTACTTCTTTTTAGTTTCGCTATCTACAAAAGCGTGTTTCTTAGTTCACTTGAATTCCCTAATTTTGACGAAGGAATCATAATATTTTATAGAAATTTTGAATAGAATCTGTATATAATTACGAAACTCGTCCGGTATATTGGTTCCACTGTCTTGAATTTCCAAATCTGCCATTTTATGGCACTTTTGGCCGTCTGAAGATGGCTCGGTGACTATATCGTACTGAAGTCTCAGGTGGGATAATGAAAATTTTTATTTGACCTATTAAAAATCTGAAAAAATTCACATAGACTAATTCGATGTCGTTATGAACGAATCTGTGGTGGAAATCAGGAAATTTTGGAAAATGAAGACGTAGTAGCCTACCGGAGTGCTCCTATTGGCAATAAAAGCGAAAAGCTGACTTTGAAAGCCGATATCTCCAAAACTATCTGTCCTATCGGGCTGATCATGGTCTCATTCGATTCAACGTGCCGAAGATGGCTCGGTGACTATATCGTACAGAAACCTCAGGTGGAAAAATGAAAATTTTTTTGGCTATTAAAAATCTGAAAAAATTCACATAGACTAATTCAATGTCGTAACGAACGAATCTGTGGTGGGAATCAGGCAATTTTGGGAAATGAAGACGTAGTAGCCTACCAGAGTGCCCCTATTAGCAATAAAAGCGGAAAACTGACTTTGAGCGTCGATATCTCGAAAACTATCTCTCCTATCGGGCTGATCATGGTCTCATTCGATTCAGTGTGTCATTTTCTAATGGAAAAGCAATAATTCGCGTGGATTTCCGCCGTTTTCTGGCACTTTCGGCCGTCCGAAGATGGCTCGGTGACTATATCGTACTGAAGTCTCAGATGGGAAAATGAAAATTTTTATTTTGCCTATTAAAACTCTGAAAAAATTCACATAGACTAATTCGATGTCGTTATGAACGAATCTGTGGTGGAAATCGGATGATTTTGGAAAATGGAGACGTAGTAGTATACCGGAGTGCTCCTATGGCAATGAAAGCGGAAAACTGACTTTAAGCGTCGATATCTCAAAAACTATCTATCCTATCGAGCTGATCATGGTCTCATTCGATTTAGCGTGCCATTTTCTACTGGAAAAGCCATAATTCGCGTGGATTTCCTCTGTTTTCTGGCACTTTCGGCCGTCCGAAGATGGCTCGGTGACTATATCGTACAGAAGTCTCAGGTGAGAAAATGAAAATTTTTATTTTGCCTATTGAAAATCTGAAAAAAATCACATAGACTAATTCGATGTCGCAATAAACGAATTTGTGATGGAAATCGGGAAATTTCGGAAAATCGAAACGTAATAGCCTACCGGAGTGCTCCTATTGGCGATGAAAGCAGAAAGCTGACTTTGAGCGTCGATATCTCGAAAACTACCTGTCCTATCGGGCTGGTCATGGTCTCATTCGATTCAACGTGTCATTTTCTACTGGAAAAGCGACAATTCGCGTGATTTTCTGCCGTTTTCTGGCACTTTCGGCCTTCCGAAGATGGCTCGGTGACTATATCGTACTGAATCCTCAGGTGGGAAAATGAACATTTTTATTTTGCCTATTAAAAATCTGAAAAAATTCACATAGACTAATTCAATGTCGTATTGAACGAATCTGTGGTGAGAATCGGAAAATTTTGTAAAATGAAGACGTAATAAAAGCGGAAAGCTGACTTTGAGCGCCGATATCTCGAAAACTATCTGTCCTATCGGGCTGTTCATGGTCTCATTCGATTCAGCGTGTCATTTTCTATTGGAAAAGCGATAATTCGCGTGGATTTCCGACGTTTTCTGGCACTTTCGGTCGTCCGAAGATGGCTCGGTGACTATATCGTACTGAAGTCTCAGGTGGGAAAATGAAAATTTTTATTTTGCCCATTAAAAATCTGAAAAAATCCACATAGACTAATTCGATGTCGTAATGAACGAATCTTTGGTGGAAATCTAGAAATTTTGAAAAATGGAGATGAAGTAGCTTACCGGAGTGCTCCTATTGGCAATAAAAGCGAAAACCTGACTTTGAGCGTCGATATCTCGAAAACTATCTGTTCTATAGGGCAGTTCATTGTCTCATTCGATTCAGCGTGTCATTTGCTATTGGAAATGTGATAATTCGCGTGGATTTCCGTTTTCTGGCACTTTCGGTCGTCCGAAGAAGGCTCGGTGACTATATCGTACTGAAGTCTCAGGTGGGAAAATAAAAATTTTCATTTTGCCTATTCAAAATCTGAAAAAAATTCACATAGACTAATATTCGATGTCGTAATGAACGAATCTGTGGTGGAAATCGGGAAATTTTGGAAAATGGAGACGTAGTAGCCTACCGCGGAGTGCTCCCATTGGCAATAAATGCAGAAAGCTGACTATGAGATAGATAAGTGAAGTTACCACTATTTTGAATCACTTTTGCCTTCTGAGCCGATTGCAGAAAAACAAGTAATAACCAGTTGCGTAAAGTAAAATATTTCATAACTGGTAATAAAATGTTTATCCATACATCACATATGGTACATCTGAGCCTAAATCAGACATTTTCCACAAATACAAATATCAAACGAATCTATATTTCGTTGCTGATTTGTGACCGTATTATTGTTTGACGGATACTTCAAAGTGACAGGCGAAGTCAGCTTGCTAACTAAATTTTGTACATGATCGGTAGAACTGGTCATTTATTTCTGTTCAAGCTGAATTTTTCATCAGCTGGAAAAAATATTGCATGTAACTTGTTAGGTAACGCAATTTTATGTAACATTTTGTAACTATGATTATGTAAAATATCTATCTACCTTCATTTTGTGAATAAACATATCGTCCAAAAATTTAGGAAGATAGGGATATACTTTATGGACACACTATAAATAAAACATCAGTATTATAAAAATCAAAAAGTGATATAATTCGTGATTTTCACATATAATATACAATTCCGCATATATACATACACTTTTATCACAAAATACTGCTCATAAATCGAGTTTAACTTCAACTTCCAATGCCTAACTAGAATTTACAACATATCCAATAATTTCAAGATAAAAACGAGAAGATAAAAATTGGCACATTATAGAAAACGGGAACTATCACATCCCATATATAATATATACAGTAAAAAAGTACTTATTCCTAATTTAATACTTAAGATTTTCGTGTGGAAATAATATACAGAACATAAAAATACAGGGCGACATACATATAACGAAATATAGCACTAAAAATTCATTTTTAAAACCCCAGTAAAACTTGGTAAAGTAAAAAAAAACTACATTTTTACAGCTCAAACATGATAATCCTAGTTTTCTGATTAAAATATCAACAGTAGTAACATTCTTCATTTCCCAAATCAAGTGTGTGTCATAATAATAAAATGTAAAACTTCAGAAAATTTTCAATAATAGTAATAAACTCGTGAACATTATTTAAAATTTTAAAATTCCCTGGAAATACCCGGTTTTCCGAAAGTCGGTTTCAATTTAAAGAGAAGATTTGGAATATCAATCATCAACATTTGAGCAAAAATCAACTACACAGTTTCACCAAACATAATTTCGAGAAATGTCCACCCCCTGACCTCGACAAACACAGTAAAATGTCCACCTTGACTTGTCGCACGAAGTTCAGTTTGACCGCAAACACCGACTCACCCTGTATCGTATGAAGGAAGCCTATGCACAAGAATTCAAATATCCATGACTTTCGGTATCCATACATTTTCGGTCTAATCAGAACGATTCTAACTATGGCGATCAATTCGAATTTGCATCTTTCCTTAAGAATAGTATGATTTAACAATGCCTGTGGTTTATGTAAATAAAATATATTTAGAAATATTGACCTAACACCATAGCGAATCAATATCGGCCTGCACAGTTTTTTTTTTTTTCAAAAAATACATCGGGATTTCGTGGTGTGAACAGTAAGAGATACTGAATGTTGCGCACTTTCATCCCTAACAAAATGTCGTTTTGAAACTAGGAAAATCCCGAATACTTTCGGATATTCGAAAAAAACTAAATTTTCATCAATCAATCAAAGTTATTTGAAGATATTAATCAAAATGAATGACACTTCATTATGGCCACTTCTTCTTCTGTACAGTTGGCGTTTTCAAAATTTGCAATCTGACTTTTCGTCTTCCATAAACCATCATCAACTTATTTTTCAAATACGGACCTGGATTTTTCATTTAATTTTTTCTCACTTTCAGAGAGACCAAAAGCTATTAATCTATCATTGATCTTTCTTTTCGAAGGTTTGTTTACATGAATTGACAGTTTCGTTTTGAATATTAAATAAAAAACTGTCAACTTTTATACGAAATATTCGGAAATAAAAATTTGTGATTGCTCATAGCTTCTGGGCAATCCAAAGGTGAGAGAAAATGAAATAAAAAATCCAGGTCCGTATTCAATAGTTGATGATTGTTTCTGGAAGACAAAACGTCCGATTTGAAATTTGAAAACGCCAACTTGTAGAGCAGAAAAAATGGTCCTGATGAATGTATTCAAATAACTTGAAAAAAAAAAAAAAGAGGATTCAGAAAATTTCGGTATTTTCGGATATCTTCGAAAGTATCCGGAATTCTCCAAGTTTTACATAATTTAACCAACCGACCCTGTATCTCTTATAGAATTTACGAGATCCCAATGATGAGTCTCTAGTACCAGTCACCCTTTACAATGTACATGGTTGAAATTTGTGATACATCACAGAAATTGATATGTTGGGTTATTAAAAAAGGATACAGAGACTCGAATAGACCGCCATAGCTAGAATCCTTATGATCGGTAAAAAAAAGCGTTCATACCTTAAGTCATGGTTCTTTGGATTCTCGCATCCTATGCTATCATTCCCTGTCCAACAGATCGGGTTCCGAGCCCGAATCCAGGTTCGCCTTTGCCTTCCTCAGCACCTGAATGAATAATAATAATAATAATAACAATAATACACTACACTGTTTTACCACTAACCAAACTATGTTAGCATCTCCAGGAGAAGATTTTAGAAAAGAAACTAACACACCTAGATACATAACTATTTTCAACACAAAATGGCAAGTTTGAATTTTCTAGACTAGTTTCATTACTTTCATTTCCTCTGAGCAAAGAAAGATTCGATGTTGAATGAAGTATTTCTTATAAAGTGGCTAGCTTCAATGATTATAATATCAAAATAGTAGTTAAATTAATACATAGACATAAATTCAAGTTAACACTTCGGAATTCTACGAGTTTTCAAAAGGATAAAAATAATTCGAGAAGATCCCAAGCAAAGGAAGGAACTTGCTAAGGTTTTCAAAGACTTAGGTTTTGAATGCGTTTGTCAGTCTGGGTCAAAATTAGGCAATTAGGTAATCCAAAAGATAAGGTGGACACAGTTGGAAAGTCAGGAATATATGAAATTAGTTGTAATGATTGTGATAAAACATATATAGGACAAACCAGGCGACCCATAAAAACAAGGGTCAAAGAACACCTAGCACATTTGAAATATGAAAATCTACAACTTTTTTCCCTTGAATAAAAAATAACTATTATTATGAAAAAAAAAATGAGTTCGATGAATTCTCATGAACTATACAGAGGAATGAGAATTTGAATGGTTGGTTTGTTCAATGCACACTCACCTGACTAGTCTTGTGGATCTGCTTGCAGATCACCTTCTCCACCTGCTTCTTGCGCTGATTGGCCAAGTTGAGTTGGGCGGCCGTCTCTTCTAGGGCTCGACGCATGCGCAGCAGCTTGCGTTTCAGCTCACCGTTCTCTTGGGCGAAGGCGGTGGTCCTGCGACAACAATGGTCGCTTCCTGGAATAAAAATAGTTTCTTGGTTGCAAACTTAAACACCCTGTATTCTGTATTGACAGGTTTCGATAGAAAAGAAGTGGTTAACTTCATTTCATATTATTTCCAAAATGAAAACTGATGAATAGATGATGACAGAAAAAAGTCATGAACTTCATCTTGCATTATCTCTAAAGTAAGAACTGTTCATGAAATCCAGATTTAAACAAATTGAATAATAAACAAATTCCATATGATGCGGACTTCAACGGTGACACAGTATTAAATGTCTTTTCACCTCAACCCGTATACGTACTATCGGTATCGGAAAGTTATACGTGTCAAGGAATCAATCGGTTCAAAGAATGACGTAAAAGTAATTAGTCATTGGAACTATTGTGAATCAAACCATCAGCAGTCTCGTTCTAGATTTCATCGCATACGGTACATTCAATTGATATGAAAGAAAAACTCGAATTATTTAAATGTGGAAGATTAAAATTCAGCTTTGGATTGGAAAAAAAATCATGAACATCATCTTGCACTATCTCCAAAGTAAGAACTGTTCATAAAATCCTAATTTGCACAAATTGAATAATAACAAAATTCATAGCATGCGAAATTCAACGGTGACACTGTATATGAAATTTATTTTCACCCCACTCCGTATACATACTATCGATATTGGAATTACTCATGTGTTCGGGAATTAATCGGTTTGAAGGATGACGTAACTAATTAGTGATTAGAAATATTGTGAATCGAAATCAAACAAATCAGCAGTCTCGTTCTAGATTTCATCGTGTACGGTCGATTCAATTGTTATAAAAGAAAAACTCGAATTATTTTGATGTGGAAAATTAAAATTCATCTTCGGTTAAGTGATTGTATTTTCATTTGAGTGTGTGAAAGTTTCTTTTTCAAGATGGTGAGTGTTTTTCTATATGGATATGGAGGTATTCATCACGTGGTTTGGTATTTTGCGTCGGTATATTTCCATATATACCCTTGAAGTCATAGACACTAGGTCAGACCCATGAAGAAAGAATCCAGTGTCAGATTTAGTGAAGAAATTTTTCTTCAGATATTCAAAATTATCAGTTCACGCGATGAAGTCTCATACAGATCGCAAAATATGTTTTCTTGATTATTCTGAAGGTCCTAAATAAATCATAGACACTAATTAAGAAAGACACATAAAGCAAGAATCCGGAGTCAGATTTAGTGAAGAAATTCTCTTTTAGATTTAAAAAATCAGCGGTTTACCCGACGCAGTAAGCTCATGCAGCTCGCAAAATATTTTTTCCATTACTGCTATGAAAAGTAGCGCATTTCTCATAGCTAACTCAGTTTCAAAACCATGTATTGCTCATACTGTGAGAAATATTTTTTCTCACGGCACTTTGCCAACACCACATACATTTCCATGGAGAATCAACAAGAATTGACCAAAACTTGGCTGCTGTTCAGCTTTGAATAGTTGTCACAACTGTCAGAAGAAGTTTTTTAAATTCTTTAGGGTAGTTCTCATTAATGCTTTTGATAGAAATCGCATTTTCCAACAAATATTATTCCAATAATTCATACTAAATAATATGATTTATTAACCGAGATATAACGATTTTGATAAATACACCGCCAGAGACAGAGATAATGAAAGAAGCTGCAAAAGTTGGATTTGTTTCCGGAAATTTCAAGAAAAAAGTATGAATTGGCATAAACGAAAAATTTATGGAATCTAAAAAAATACAGAAATGAAATCTTTTTCGGAAAGTGTACTTTCTTGAAATACTTTGATGAACTCGAAAAGGCGTCTACTCCTTGGTCACAATATTCAATGTGGCATAGTGCCACATTATAAAATGAATACCAATAAGTTACATTACTCGAATTCTTTGAATAAGTGCAGTTGTAGAAAAAGTATAGTGTGCAACAAGTAGGAAAAGTGCTTTTCCCCACATGTTGCACACTATACTTTTTCTACAACTGCACTGCAATATACTATTTCCTGATTGCCCTAAAAAAAAATCCCAAAAAATCCATTGACACCAATCCCGACCCATAAAGAAAGATTCAGTACAGAACTTACCGCAATAGCTGCCCTCCTCCGCATCTAGTAAGTCGCTCATAGCCTCCGTCAGCTCGATGGTGGGCAGCAAGGGCCTCTGCTGCACCGGCGCTTCTAGGCTGGAGAACCGCCCGTGGTCGCTCTCGATGCCCAAGTCTGGGGAGGCGTTGGATTCCCGACGCTCCGCCTCCAGGGCGGCCGGTGGGTGTGGCCTTGCCAGGGTGGGCGGGGCGACAGGGTCGTGCCTGTGAAATATCTATGTACAGGGTGTCCGGAAAGGTCATGTGAATGATAGGGCTGATAGTGAGCCAAAATAAAGTCGGTGCTTCATATAAAAATATTTCTATCGCATATGACATATGAATGAGTGATTTTAGTCTACAAATGAGTTACAAGATGTTTTCATTAATTGATTTTGAATCTACCATTTTCATGTTCAGTTTTCAGTATTGAATACCATGTTCTATCTACATCAACTGAACAGGAAGCAATGCGATTGTCTCCGTTTAGAAGAATGCAAGCTCTGCTCAAAGCCACACCGACTTTTTCATTTGAAAATTTCGATTCCCCAGCCCATTTCAGAAAACCACGAGGATGACCTTCATTGTTACTCACCTAGTATACGTCCCACGACTCGCATAGTTGAACTCATTTCTGCTGGCCTGCAACCTCACCAACCGGTTGTGCAACTCGGCATTGTTCGACTCTAGTTCACTCAATCGAACTTCCAGCTGCGATTTTTGCCTCTGCAGCTCGCTGAGTTTAGAGTTCAGTTCATTGTTCCTTTCCTTATACTCTAGCATCGTGCGTTCATAAGTAGACACCTCATCCTTCAACTCGTTCAGTGCGGCCAAAAGTTTATCCACTTGCAAAAGTTTCTCTTCCACATCGCTTCTTTTCACATAATCCTTAGCGTAACGATCTTCCAGCAACTTCAAGTTATCCTGTGCCTTTTTTTCTCGGAGGTTCAGCTGCTTGAGAAAATCTTCTTCGGCGCTACGAAGCTTGGCAATAGCGAATTGCTCATATTCGCTTCTCAAACTAGCTTCGAGACTTTCCATCTCCTTGTGGGCCTCTTTGAGCTTCATGCCCTGCTCCTCAATGTCTCGCTTCGCTCTGATAGCCTCCCTCTCATATTCTTCCGCCAGTCTTCTGGCTTCACCCTTCTCAACCTCCAAGGCATTAATCAAATCATTTTTCTCCTTGTCTTTTCCAATAATCGACTCCTTCAAGACCTCCTTGTCTCGACTCAGTTCCTCCACAGTCTTATGTAATTCAGCCATCTTGATTTCGGCTTCTTCCTTTCGATTTCTAGCTTCCGTCAGGCTCGCCTCAGCTTCACTCAACCTAACTTTCAACTCCTCGAAGGCACTTTTATCGACGCTCTGAGCCAGCTTAGCCTCTGCTAAGGCCAGCTCCTCAGTTTTCCTTTTGATTTCCTCTTGCAGCTCGAAGAAGTCTGAGCTAGAACGTTTCTCAAAAGACCTCTTGGTAGGTGTGAGGCTGAGAGCTGATTCTTCTCCCGTGGACTCGCTGAGATCTTTGGCGATGCTCAGAAATTCTGGCGCGGTCTGGCTCAAGCCTATCCTCGCCCTGGATACCACCCTGTCGGGCTCAGACCATCCCTCGGACTCCGAATGGCACTCGGACTGATACTTTAGAGTTGTGGAGGTGGTGTTACACTTGACAGGGGTGGTGAACAGTTTGGAGACGTCTTTTGGTCCGGTTTCGCTTTCAGAGGTTTTGTTGGTTATCACATTCAGTTTGTTGAGCTCGTTGTCTCTGAGTTGCAGCTCGGATTTGAGGTTGAGGATTTGCTCTCTGAGCGCTAGTATCACAGATTCGTTGTCGAGGTTATCTTTCTTGGTGGATTTGTGCAGATGGCTTTGGTAGGTTAAGGTGACGTCGTTTGGGACTATGGATAAGGTTGTTGAACTGTCGTCTTCCGCATGTTGATTCAAGGAGAGATCTCCAAGTTCTGAACCATCTAGTAGTGCGGTTATGTTAGACAGTTGTGCCAGGGTTTGGTCTCCCGAGACCATCATGCTGGTCGCGAAAGATTTGGATATGTCTAGGCTGTTGTTCACTAGGCTGCGCAACCTTTTCTCCTTGTGCAATCCTAGGAAGCCTAGAACTGATTTGTGCCTGAGTAGGGAATCTAGGAACAATGCCAGTTCTTCTAGACGTGAATTGAGTAACAGACAGACCTCGTTGGATTCCGCTCTTAGCTTTTCAGATCTTTCATTCTCGATTTGAAGATTGGAGATTTTAGAGCCGAGTTTCTCTATTTGTTCTTCTCTTTTCAACAGCTCTTTCTGTAATTTGCAGGTGTCGGGTGAACTGCTATGTTTATTGTGGAGCTTCTCGATTTCCTTGTTTTTGTCCCACAGCTCTTTATTGACGATTTCTTGAAGATAGCAAGTACACTTCTTCAATTCCTCTGTCAATTTCTCGATTTTCTTGTCCTTTTCCTCCATTTCCTTCTGGTAAATTTCATATTTTCCGGAAACCGACGACTCAGCATTCTCTGAACATAGCAATTCGAACTCCATATCTGCCAATTTGGTTTCTTTTTCTTCCAGGCACATCATAATTTCATCATATTGCTTCCGGATATTTTGCATTTGGTTGTCTTTCTCATTCAAAGTTGCCACCAATACCTGCAACAAAGATAAACAGTAGGTCAGACGAGCTTGGTGTCAAAATTACACGAGTCGGTGTCATTTGTTAGTTCAGCCGGAGAAATCACACCGACCTGGTGTAAATTTTACACCAAATTCTAGTAGCACCCGAAATTCAGGAAGTATGCAAGTGCAGTACTTACCTCGACTTTGGCTTCTAATTCGACGGTCAGAGCTTTGTACAGCTCGGCAATCTCCATTTCTTCGGCGTCTGATTTGGTGGTCGGTTTCTGTTGAAAGAGGCAGAAAGATTAGAAATCAAATAGACGTTATCTTGATGAAGGCACAAAAAAAAACGCAAACAAAATAAAACCAGGGTTAAAATAAGCATGCGTTTATTGTAAGTAAAAGCAACAATAATTATGTACATTGATTTCAACAGTTTTTTTTTTCTCATCCGTTTTGAATTTTAGCCTAGAAATTAAATGGGTGTGAAATTTCGATTTTGCAGAGAACAGAATGAAAAATATCAGTGAACAAAAGAGTTACCTTTAGGAAATGGACAGGCACATCAAACTATACTCAAGAACAAATCATTTTCGGTAGATTGTTATTTTTTTCATTGAGAAAACAAAGCAAGTCACATTCACAAACAAGGGAACAATGTTCACAGATATATTCAAGCCACGTCTTACAAGCTTCAAGCCAGATCGAAAATATCTTTTTGGAAGGGAAAATAAACTCGGGCATGTCATTTGGTCTCATCCTGTCTGTTACGAAAATAGTTCCGGCCTGGTTTACACGACTTAGAAAAGGTTTACCTGAAGCTATACAGGGTGGGACATTAGTGCGTCGGAGCTCGATTGCTCCAGTTCTATGATAGCTAGAAACTTGATTCAAAAACGAATGTCAATGAGATAACAAGGTCCGTAACTAGAAATTATTGCCGCTTATACAGGGAGCATCGGAAAAAATCTAGAGGGTCAGGATCACTTTTTTTAAAAGGAATGCCCTATATATTAGCACATTTTTTGAAGCATTCCTGTGACCTCCATCCACTCCTATAAAATTGTTGACTATTTCTCGATCATTTCAAATTATTTTGTCGAAATAAAGTCATCTGCAGATCCATACCAAAAAAATCACTGTTATCGCAATTATAAAGTTTGAGAGATAATAATCACAATATCATTTGATGGGAAGATGCGTGATATTTCAGTAGAATTTTCATGCCCTCAAATTATACAGGGTGGCAAAAAATGTTTTTTCAATTCGTAACTTTTGGAAGTCATTTTTCTCGACTTTTTCAAATGGAACATCCCAAATATTGTTAGGTTTGGTGTAAAATCGAAACACGAACATCTTTTATCAACATCCATATAGATATTCGTTACCATTTTTGAATCCCTATTATAAACAAATATGTTTCTTGGGGTAATAAAAAACAACAACAAATGATGTTGGTCTACAAAAAATTGATCATATTGATGGTTATTCATACTGGTCCAAATTTGGTATGAATCGCACAACTAATAGCTGATTCAGATGGAATAACCCATTTTGATTGAAAAACCGACAGAGATGTCAAAAATTTTGTTTTCATGGCATTTCTGTTGTGTCCAGAGCCATCTAAATGTTATTTGCAACTTTGATTCAATGTAAAATAAGTGAAAAATGGCTTGAGGAAACATTAGCAAACTAGATCTATCACTATAAAATATACAGAGTGTTTCATCAAAAACCTCATTTTTTTCATTTTGCGATTCGCATCTGTTCGTTTAAGGACTTTCAAAAAATTAAGCTGTAGGTAGGAATCAAATTATACGAAGACACCCTGTACATAAAAAAATAACAACAGTCGTAGTGAGAAATGTAATTTGTCATTTTTGTTGTTATTAATGGTTTCCTGTCTATTGTATGATCAGGTTTGTTCAATTTTTTTAGAAAGTTCTATCAATTCAATATCTAAAGGTACGTAGTGAGCACATCTTTCAGACATCTTGTATTTTGTCAACGTGTAAACCTGGTCGTGCTAGTTTTGTCTTTGCCTGTGCTCCGAGATTTTGATAGGTTTGTTACCCTAAAACCGATTTGTTTATCTCAAAATAGAGGACGATAGCATAATGTTTTCATTTATCGAGCAACAGATGGGAACATCTTTGTAAACCAGGAAGCCGTTTAAAATTTATGAGACCCAAATAAATGACGAATATTTTCATCTGGGCGTTTCAATGGAATCTTGAATATTCTATAACAGATGGCGTTAGTGGGAGATATCTCAATAAGTGTTTCAAAGATGAAATTTAAGGTGGAATAACTTGGTAAAATAAGTATTAAAAATTTACTACTATCATAGATCTGAATACACCTACTATAATTTTCATCATGGGGTCATGTTTTAACAAAATAAATAATTCCTCAAGAAGCAGATATCGATATTTTTCAAAGATGAGTAAGTAGTTATTTGTACCAGTTTGTATTGATTTTCAACTAAATGAATTTGCTTTTCAACTACTTGATAGGTCGCTTAAATTATGGAAAAGTTGCGCAATCTTTAACCTAAGAAAAACCGTCTCCAACTCGGAAAATTCCGAATACTTTCGGAGAAATACGGAAAAAACCGAAATTTCCTATAACTTTTTGAAATTTTTTCAAGTTATTCGAACGAATTGAGCAAAATGAATGACCACCTTTCCTTTGCTTTTTCGTTCTTAAATTTGGAATCCGAAGTTTCGTCTTCCATAAACCATCATCAAATTATCATTTTTTGATACGGACATGGATTTTTTTTCATTCTTCACCACCTTTGAATACTCCGAAAGCTATGAGCTATCACAAATTTTCATTTTCGTATATTTCGTTTACAAAAACTGACAGTTTCGTTTTGGATATTGAAAAATGTACATAAAATGTCAATTTTTTTGAATGATATATTCGAAAATAAAAATTTTGGGATAGCTCATAGAAATATGTGGAAAGAATAAATGAAAAATCCAGGTCTGTATTCAAAAATAAATTAGTTGATGATGTACATATTTGGAATTTTCCAAGTTTCAAAACAGCATTCTGCTGGGCAAAAAATTGTGCAGCTCTGCCATAATTCAACAGACCCTGTATCTTTTACGGTTAAAGAGATACCGTGTATAGAAAAAATCGTTATTTTCCTTATTTCGTGCGAGAAAAAATTGTATTTGAATTTATCAATTCTTGGCACATTAATCTTTTTCCTAAAATCCAAAGCAACCGATCTGCCAACAAATAATAAAAATATATAAACAATAAAAACGTACAAAAACTGAAAGCCGTGCAAAACGAAAAAGCCCCACTTCTCCTACCTAATCCTTCCTCTTGATAAAATCATATATTGAAATTGATCTATGATAAAATACAAGATGATAATGATAATTCCTATCAACAAAAATAATATTTCAAAGTACGAAAAAACCTAGAAATTTCATTACAACTTGGGTTTGCATGCTTTCTTCTGATATAGTGAGCAATAATTATTGGGAAAATATCAATTTGCAGAACTTTACAACTATAATTTTTATAGAGAAAATTGTAATTTTATTATTATTTCATGCGATAAATTTATTCCTTCACAGAAAACGGCTTTAGACGATGAGGTAAGTCATTTTGACAGAAGTAAAAAAGGATGCAACTTTTAAATCACTGTAAAACTGCCTGATCCTTTCATCCAGTAATTCTAGTAGGTATGTCACCCAAATTTCTGTCATGTCAAATTAGATTATTGGCTATGGTTCACGCGTGAATTAGCAAGATGAGCCGTTTTATGAAAATTACTTATGAAGAAACCACAAAAAATATAAGAAAATCAATTCCGTCGTTGATTTATCTTGCCAAAAAACACTCAAACTTTTTTTTTATTGGATAAATTCCCTTACTAATTCAAAAATTTTCCATCAGTAATTTCTCTCGAAAAACCAACATTAGACAAAATTGCTTGACCTGCGCAATTTTTTCACGTCAGTTTTTCTCGAAAAATCACTGATTGGCAAATTTGTTTCGTTAGGAAGAGACATTTATTTATGAAAAAAAGCTATTGATAAAAATTGTATTTGAATTTATGAATTCTTAGCACCTTATTCTGTTTCCTAATATCCAAAGCAATCAATCTGACAATATTAATTTACTAAAAATAAAAGACATTGAAATCTGAAAGCCATGCAAAATCAGAAAGCTCCACGACCACAACCTTCCTCTCAATAGAATACAGGGCGATAATGATAATTTCTACGTTCTACCAGATGATTAACGAAAATACTATTTCAAAGTAGGAACAAACCTAGACATTTCTTTTTCAACTTGGGTTTGCATGCTTTTTTCTAATATAGTCTATATTTATTGGGAAAATATGAACCAACAGAACTGTAAATCAATAATTTGTGATGTATAGAGCAAATCATTATTTTCATTATTTAGTGTGATAAAAAATTTCACGTATTTGAATAATTTATGAATTCTTCTCACAGCATTAATTTCCTAAAATCCAAAGCAACCGACCTGCCAACAAGATTGATTTATTAAAAATAAAGAAGGAAATTCAATGACTTGTTAATAAAAATAAACAATAAAAACCTGAGTACAAAATACTGAAAGCTGTAAAGTGCAAACCAAAAAGCTCCACGACCAAAACTCAACCCCCAAACTTGCCAAACCTCTCTCCAACCCTCCTCCCGATATTCACCTCTCGCTGCTCCACCTCACCCCCCTTGGCCCCCCCATCGTCCCCGTCGCTGGCCGGCTTCGACACCACCGACTCCAACTCCCTCTCCAACTCCTTCACCTGCCCCCTCAAACAAGAAATCTCCTCGTTCGCCTTATTCCGTGACGTCATCATGGTCTTTATGATCTCGCAGGCCTTGAACTGCTCCTTCTTCAGCTTGAGCAGCTTCGCCCTGAGCGCGTCGCTCTCCTCGCGCAGCCGCACAAACTCCCCGCGAACCGCCTCAGGGACGTGCGAGAAATCGCCCGAGCTGCGCGAGTCTGGGCGGGGCGCTTCCGGGGCGGTTATCTGTACATCAAGTGGGTGCGTTTCCTGAGCTCCTGCAGGTGCTGTTGGGTCCTGAACTGAAAGAGAATGGAGATGAGAGTCAGGCGGCGGGGTGGATGTGTACAGGGTGGCAACCGCTAGGTTCTGGTTCTTCCTGACGTCGGCAGTGGCTGCCTCCAAGCGGGCTTGTAGGTCTCGCACTTTGGCCTTGTGCTTGTCGTTGTCGCCCTCAAGCTCGGCGATGCGCGAGTCGCTCATACTTTTCTGTTTTTCCGCTTTTTTGTGCTCACGTTCGTAGTCTGTTTTCAAGGTGGAGTATTTTTTTTTGAGGTCGACGATTTGATTGGCGGCTTCCTCGAGTCTTCTGCTGTCGCTTCGGATTCTCTTGGAGAAGCTGTCGTTCTCTTTATAGGCTTTTTCGAGTTTTTCTTGCATTTCCGTGAGCCGTGCCGAATAGTCCATTATTTTTGAGTTGGAAGCTTCGATTTCTTCGTGCAGGTTGCTGATTGTCGCGTCTTTGGCTTGGCACTCTTTTTGCGTGTTTTCGTATCGAATTTTCAATGTTTCTGCATGGCCTATGATGAATTGTAATGAGGCGTTGTTTTCTTTCTCGAGATGGAGCTAAAATTAAATGATAATCATTGAAACACTGAAACAGATATGAGGCAGAGATGACAAAAAGTAGTCCGACCACCACAAAAAAGATAACAAAAAACCAGGCGCAGGATGTTTGGCAGAAAGGTGATTATCGTATACAGAGTGTGCCACGTTATTTTGGTATGCGTGTGACACAGTCAAATATTGCAAATCGTAGTAGAACTGTTTTTGTATTTGGAAATATAATCTTTGTAATTACCTCAGAGAACGTATTTGAAAAAAATAACAATTTTCATAGACTCAATCATGAAACTATGATGATGAAAGTTGAATTCAAGAAAAACCTGAGCTCAAAGAAGCACTGAAATCTGGAATATATAGTTTGTTTGAAAATAACAAAAGTTTATTGTCTATTGATGTTTCAGTTGACGCTGAAAAAAATGGATGTTGGCACCAATTATTGTATTGATTTAAAAATCTTCAATTTTGCTTTGCTTAAGACAAAAATATGAAAGACAGAAAAACATAAACTGAGGACTAAATTGACATTTTCCACCCCTTCTGGTTTGAAAGTAAATACTGGCATTTTTTTCTCAAACGCCATAGCAATGAAGCTTTTACGGCACATCACTTTTCGATGTCAACAACAATATAATGACCACTCATTAGTCAGCAAAGTTGACATTCTCACGAGTAAGTGAGTACTATCCTTCATTATTTTCTTGACTATTTAATTTTAAATTTTTTTCCACTCCTGAAGTGCTTCAAATAGTATTGTAAACCATGGGACTGAAGTTCTTTTTAATCCCAAACTTTTCATATCGGGATTTGAAGTATCACTTCATTCCCTGGACTTCAAAAAGTACTTCCAAATATTCGGGTTATTCATCTATAACTTGTTGCATAATCGCAGTTTCACTCACTTTGACAGTTGAAATAATCCAACTGCAAGCGGACGATTTGTAATTGTGCAGGAAGTTTGAGATGTAAAACCATGAATTGTTTGAAGTTCGAATTTTATTCGATGAGATTATTTTTCGAGTAGTTCTGAATGAACGTCAACATTTTACAATATGAATTGGTAACTAGGGAAATAATTACAAATTTCTGATTGGCGGTTGAACTTTGCAAAATTTCACGAATTCAATGAATTATCAGTTTCTAGACGATTCAGACTTGCAATATTCTCATTTCATATGTCACACGACTGAACAAAAACTAACAATAAACCAAGCAGAAAAAACAAGCGTTTGTTTGAAAAGAATTATACAGGACACTTCCACCACTAGGATATACCTCGGCTTCCAATATTTTCACTTTTTCTTGCAGTTCGGTCAATAAACCTCCACTATTCAATGCTTTATTACTGTAAAATCCAGTCGTGTCTGATTTCAAAGATATTCCATCAGAGTCAAACTTTGTATCCTTAAAGAATATATACATATGAAATAAAAAATAATTAAACACGTGTCGGAAATTTTTGAATTTGCTATTTTTCTTATTTACCTGTAATTGCATTCTTAGATCTTCCAACTCTTGCTGGCACATACTTAGCTGATCATCTTTGCTAGACACATACTTTTTATGTTCTTCCTCTTCTAATTCCATGGCTTTGACTGCTTGACATAAAAGATCGTGCTTCTCATCCAACTCTTTTTGTAAATTCCCGAATTCAACCTGAATCAATACATAACATTTTCAAAGTTTCCCACAAACCGAAATCATACCGACCTGAAGTTCAATGTATTTTTTGACAATGTTGTCCTTGTCCAATGTAAAATGAGCTCCCATTTTCTCTTCCAAAAAATATATCCTAAGCTTTAGATTGAAATTCTCCTTTTTGAGATTGCTGAGTTGGTCCTCGATCTCTCTGACGGATCTGCCCCGCATGGGTCCTCCGGGTGACCTGAGACCCATCGTATCTACAGAAAAAAAAACAGATATCAACTCACCACATTTCATACAACATTATCAACTTTCAATAATTATAATAGTAAGTCTATCGTGTAGCACCTCATTTGAAAGGTCTTCAACTCATCTATCTGAAGATTGCAATTGTTTATTGAGAACACATTCAATTTGTTGATATTGCATCTACAGATGTATTATAATCAACTTTATCAATTTTAATCATAAGTATATCGTGTAGCACCTCGTTTGAAAGGTCTTCAACTCATCTATCTGAAGATTGCAATTGTATATTGAGATCACATTCAATTTGTTGATCTTGCATCTACAGATGTATTATAATCAACTTTATCAATTTTAATCATAAGTGTTTCTAGTAGCACCTCATTTGAGATGTCTTCAACTCATCTATCTGAAGATTGCAATTGTATATTGAGATCACATTAAATTTGTTGATCTTGCATCTACAGATGTATTATAATCAACTTTATCAATTTTAATCATAAGTATATCGTGTAGCACCTCATTTGAAAGGTCTTCAACTCATCTATCTGAAGATTGCAATTGTATATTGAGATCACATTCAATTTGTTGATCTTGCATCTACAGTTGTATTATAATCAACTTTATCAATTTTAATCATAAGTATATCATGTAGCACCTCATTTGAAAGGTCTTCAAATCATCTATCTGAAGATTGCAATTGTTTATTGAGATCACATTCAATTTGTTGATATTGCATCTACAGATGTATTATAATCAACTTTATCAATTTCAATCATGAGTATATCTTGTAGCACATTATTTGAAAAGTCTTTGAATAGTGATAACAGCTCATTTTATAGTTCTCAAAAATTTCTACTGATTTACGTTGTCTCGAATGAAAATCGAGACCAGAATGCCCCTTATCAACTGTATTATTTTAAATGATATTCTTCCTTCTTTTCACTAAATATGGATAAATCGCAAGGAAATCATATTTCTAGTAAACTCAAATAATAGAAAAAAAGGTGTCATTGAAGTACATTGTGATATATAAATTGTTCAATGATGAAAAAAGAAGGGCAAATTGTTCTGAATGTGATCCAAAAGACAGGCGGAAAAGAAGGTGAAATTTGTAACTTTATAGTGAAATATCTCAATAAATAATGGTTTGTTCACATTTTCATTAACAAATTCGTGTTTTTCAGACAAAAATACGTAAATAATAAGAAAAATTTCGAGAAAAAAAAACACCATCGCATGATAAGTGCAGTTTTACCAAAAACAAAAAAATCTTACGGACAGATCCATCAGTATCGAAATCTCCATCGACAGAACTAGCGGAACTGTACACAGAACCAGACGATTTAGTGCCCTTATCTCTATCACCGAAATGATCCATCACATTGCTCTTCAACACTGCCTTCAAAATATCGTCAGCCATTTTTTCTCACACATTATATTCTTGGCAATAATCGCGCCCAGCTATTGTTTTTCTTCGGTCGTTCGTTAAATTAAACTCTTCAATTTTCCGGGTTGATGATCGTGGACAGGGGTGCGGTTGAATGTAAGGATGCGACACAAAAAAACACACGAGAATTTGATGGTGATTTTTCCGAAAACGTCGGAGCTGTCTGATATGACATGCGAGGTTTTTCTCGCGACATCCACCAACTGAGATGCAAGAAAAAATTCGAAAGCGTATGAATACAGTGTGTCCCACCATGGGTATCTTTTTAACGGTGAGAGATACGAGGTCGGTTAAATGACACCAAATGTGGAGTTTGTCAGGGCCAACTATAATGTGAAAAAATATTTTGATAAAATCGATTCGTTTTTGTTTTATACGCAAAAAACAGATTTTGATCATTTTCATGTCTCCTCCGTAACTTCTTTATTTATGAAAATATTCAAATAGGAATCTCACATTCTCATGGCAGTTTTTCAAAGTGATTTCGAAAAAAATATGAAATTTATACCAACTCTTCTAGAATTTGAGATATCAGCACCAACTTTAGTTTTTCAAATGTAGGTCATAGCTCACTATGACTTAGTTACAAATAACTTTTTTCTCTCTTACAGATGATATGTCGCAGTAATAGTTTTGTGTTGATAACAACGGAGTTATCGTCATTTATACAAAACAAAAAATTATTTGGAAGCCGCCATCTTGAATTTATAAATTTCAACAAAAGAATCATGATCTCCGACCTCAAAAACCCCCACTTACCAATTTTGAATGGAATCGGACCAAATCTTGTCCGCCATCTTGGAGCAGCCATTTTTTTTTAATTTCAACAAAAATTCCATAACTCCGCATAACTTGAAATTTGACAGGTGTTCATAATTTCGGTGACAATACATTATGGAATTTTTGTTGAAATTAAAAAATTGGCTGCTCCAAGATGGCGGACAAGATTTGGTCCGATTCCATTCAAAATTGGTAAGTGGGGGTTTTTGAGGTCGAAGATCATGATTTTTTTGTTGAAATTTATGAATTCAAGATGGCGGCTTCCAAATAATTTTTTGTTTTGTATAAATGACGATAACTCCGTTGTTATCAACACAAAACTATTACTGCGACATATCATCTGTAAGAGAGAAAAAAGTTATTTGTAACTAAGTCATAGTGAGCTATGACCTACATTTGAAAAACTAAAGTTGGTGCTGATATCTCAAATTCTAGAAGAGTTGGTATAAATTTCATATTCTTGTCGAAATCACTTTGAAAAACTGCCATGAGAATGTGAAATTCCTATTTGAATATTTTCATAAATAAAGAAGTTACGGAGGAGACATGAAAATGATCAAAATCTGTTTTTTGCGTATAAAACAAAAACGAATAGATTTTATCAAAATATTTTTTCACATTATAGTTGGCCTTGACAAACTCCACATTTGGTGTCATTTAACCGACCTCGTATCTCTCACCGTTAAAAAGATACCCATGGTGAGCATGGTAAGTGGGACACACTGTATAGCTCAGTAAGACGGTAACGATTAGAACCCAATCCGGTAAAAAATTCGAGTAGTCGGTTTCTCTGTAGTTTTATATATGTTATTGGAGGTGCTGAATTCGAATCTGAATTTCGCAAACAAAATTTCCTGGAGCGTTCCAAGAATCAGCGAAATTTTCGCACTTTTTTCGGTTTTTTGTCCGTAACTCGGAAATCATACATTATATCGAAAATAGCGCCCTTTAAAAAGTTGAAGTAGATAAAATTTCCTAGATGAAAGTGTTCTCGCTCATGAATGTAGGACTGAAGGGTGCGGAGATAGAGCCAGTTGAAAGTTGACCAAATTTGAGTACTTTTCAAAAAGTAGCGTTTCTCATCGGTTTTTGCAAATTTTACGTATCACTCAAAGACAGAGCATCGTGCATCATGCATCATGTCAATTTCGTCATTATGGAAAAAAATTAACGGCTGTTAGAGCGCTCGGACTTGGAGACGTCTTTTATTCGTATAGTTGCCACACTAATGTTCATCCTTTCAACTTATATGATTTGGATCATATGAACCTACATTCATTGAAGCTCTAAAACGTATAAATTGGTCATTGTTGTTTTGTTTCTGTATTCTGTAGGGTGGAAGACAAAGAGAAATTAAAATAAAAGTACGCAAATTTGGTCAATTTTCAACTGGCTCTATCTCCGCACTCGTTAGTCCTACATTCATGAGCAATCACAATTATACTTCGGAAATTTCATCTACTTCATCTTTCTATTGGGCGGTCTTTTCGATATAACTTTTAATTTCCGAGTTACTGGCAAAAAAACGAAAAAAGTCCGAAAATTTTGACGTTTTTTGTGAATATCTCGGAACGCTCCAGGAAATTTTGTTAGCAAAATTTAGATTCGAATTCAGCACCTCCAAAAACATGTGAAACCGACTACTCGAATGTTTTCCAAGTGAAAATACCATTTGTTTGGACTAATAGAAATGGTCTTTTAATTAAAATAATGTGAGCTGATATAGTAGACTATGAACTGAGGGACTGAAAAGTGCCACTTTTGATTCCGCAATTTGCTGAGGGATTGAAAAGAACTTTGATCCCGTTATTTATACAGGGTATTTCATGAATAATTGGAAATATTTCAGCTATAAAGTCCTGAGCTCGAAATATGAAGATTTAATAACCCAAATCGCCTAGGTCTAGATGAAATGTGTCTCCTGTCTGTTACAAGGTGTTTTATTATGCATTATACAGGCTGATTCACGGTGGATGGCATATTAAACGTTTCTGGAGAACGCAACGTAGGAATATACTGAAAACTTGGTTTCTTGGATAATTAGTTATGTTCTATCGACCTAAAATATTCTCAACACTGGGACGTTGCCGCTTATATTGAAAAGTAGCAACATCTTTGATTTTTTGAATGGGACACCCTGTATATTATTCCACTTTCAGATTTTTTCTAAAGAGCTGATTTCATCGATCTATCTATCACAATTGGGGTCTAGCGGGAATGATAACAAAGATATAGGGTGTGAAAAATCGAGATATTTCAACTTCAAGAATTTCTTGTGTCGTAACTATTCATAATATTATGTCCCTATATCAACTTTTCATGTACTATCAATTGATATTTATCTGAAATAGATACAAGGTGGTTGAAAATCTTAATTCTGAACCACCCTGTACCTATTTGAATCAAATATCAATTGTTGTTCTTTGAATTTAATGTTTTATGGAATATGTTATTTTTTTGAGGTCGGCACCTTATGACAGCTGATAAATGAAAAAGCATCGATTTCTTTCTAAAACACAATAAGATTTTTTATATGATTTGTTTCAGATTCTATATTATCTGATGATTTTTCTCCCTTTTTCGAAAGCTTTTTCTTCAATACCAAAGTGATAACGAAATAGTATTTTTCCAAGAATTGCCACCTATATAGAAACACAATACATATGGTATTTTATTTTCTCGAATTATTCAATAATTTGCTCAGTTCACCAGAACTATTGGTGAAATGAGTTTAGAACTCCAGAACTCTTTATAATACAACAAAAAAATATATCAGAACTCATTTACTCGAAAAAACGGCACTGCGTGAAGTTAGCGCTCAAAATTATTTTTTCCATTGACATCTACGATTTGCTGGAACTATTCAAAATGTCAGTCATGTACACTAGAACCCCATCAAATCTACTTAGAACTCCAAAACAATTTGAGTTTCTCGAAAAAAACATCACATGAGTGCAAAATGCAGTTTCCAAACTTGGAAAATTCCAAATATGTTTTGATAAGTATATGAAAAAACCAACTGAAATTTCCTAAAACCTATAAATTTTTTTTCAAGTTATTTCCACGTTATTTGGAGAAATTAGCGTGTTCAAATTTGTGTTCAAATTTGAAATCCGACGATTCGTCTTCCAGAAACCATTAAAAACAGAATTTTTCATTTCAATTTTTCACACCTTTGAATATCCCAAAAGCCATGAGCTATCCCAAATTTTTATTTTCATATTTCGTTCACAAAAATCGACATTTTCTGAATTCCTGTATTACTTAAATATTCAATACGAAACTGTCGTCATAGGAGAAGTTTCATCACATGCAAAAAATCAAAATATTTGGACGATCGATGGAGTTCTGCCAAAAGCTATTAATGTCAAGGTATACAAAACTTTATTAGCACAGCCAGATTCACAAAAAAGAATTAGAAAACGTTTTTCATTATGTACTACACTAGGTGGTCTATCGTACATTTGAGATTTTCACAATAGCCTCAAACTGAAATACTAAGTCATCGTGAGGTTAATTATTATTTTTTCGATCGCTTATTTTCACAGATTGGCGCAAATTGATAAACTTGGCAGCATGTATGGCGAGTATTTTATATTCCTGGCAATGTTTCAAAACGTATAAACAAACATCGGATATTTTCGTGCACAGAAAATAATTATGTTTCGATCAGAATTTGTTTTTTGCTTCGAGTTTTATCCAGAGCTCATTACTGAACATTTCGATTCGTCCATCTTCAATAAGTACTTTGTTGATTACGACCTACAAAGCACAAATCCGCCCTGTTTCAGAATACTGTTCCCACATATGGGGTTCAGCACCCAAAACATACACTGATGCTCTCAGAGAAGAGCCATTCGCCTGGTGGGTGATGCCACACTCACTAATTCTTTGACATAATTGGTAGGTTATGAAAGATGTATTTATCAACATACATTAATGTAGGAAATTTCAATCTGGTGGCTTTTACCGTTCAGAAATTATGCGGAAAAATTATTTCAATGTACATTTTGGGCCATTAGTTAATTATTCAAACAAACATCTTAATTCAAACTACTCATTTTTCAATGTAATATCACCTCCAGGAAGCTCGGTACGCATTTTTGACTCACCCTGTAGAATATCTTGAAGAAATACTAGATTCCGCCATATCAATGAAGGGTGATTCAGCTTATGTTTGAAGAGATTTAAAAATTTGTGATGTTGTTTCATAATTTTTTTCCGATATAACAGAAAATACAGACTGCTCGGAACAAACGATCTACAGGGTACCTACTAGTTGATCATTTCAAATGATTTATCAAATTTTTAAATCGATAAATCAACTCGACCTACGGTCTAGCAAATGTTTTCATTTCAGTTTTTCTCGTAAAATTACTGATCGGCAAATGTTTTTCGTTACCAAGAGAAATTTATCCGATAAAAAAAACTCGTGTTTTTACTGTTGACTATTCCACTCTTGAACTCGAGAACCAATCAGAATCGACCATTTTCACGGTTTCTTCTGTATTCTAGCGATATTTTTTCTTTATTAAATTTTATCGGACTTGCTCTACCAATACAGAAGCCGTATTAACCCACAGGTGACCAACAAACCTCGTTTATCAGCGATAAAATTTTGACATCGTGTCTGGTCAAGATTGCTGTGGATTCGAATCCGAGACAATAACCTTTATTTTATTTACTAATAATTCGCGTTAGTGAGACATTTTGTTTCATGTGTAATTTAAAAAGTTTGCATATTTGTTGACGGTCTGACAACAATACTAGAATTTAAATTCCTTTTTAAAGTAATCTTCTTCATTCACTCAAGTTGTTGTAACTAATACAATTACCAGATGATGTAGCGTAGCTCAACTGATAGGGATGTTGAGCGAAGAAAGAAGGTCGATGGTTCGAGCCCCTCGGCGACGATATCTTTTTTTTTTAATTATTTCATGTCACATAAATTCAATTTATTTTGTTTGAATTGGATAGCAATTGTATACACTCTTTTGAGAGCAACTATCTCCAAGATAATAAAAAAAAATACTGTTTATCAAAATTGTACATTCCACTTTGTGAATAACTATAAGTAGGTAGTTAATTTCTAAAAAATTGAATTCTGTATTTCATTACTATCATTATGTTCTTCTTCGCAGTTTGAGTAGGCATATACTTGAATTATGTTTCCTATTTCTTATATATTTTGTCTCATTCAATCATGAAATAGGCATACGAATACAACTCGTGATACTTATTTTCCTGGAAATATTATCACTTGTGGTATTACATATGATTAAAAAATAACTAAGCTAGAGGAGGGGACACTTATGTTAAATCACCCTGTAATGTAATATCCTCGATAACGTGAAACAGCGACATCAATTTTCTGGCTCAAAATCAGGACAATTCAACTGCATCCGTTTCTCTCCATGTTTGTCTATCTCCTATCTTTGATTGAGAAATATAATATCGTTGACAAATTGCCTATCTTAAATTCAAATCAGCCGCAATTGTTTTCATTGCCTGCTATGACCTTTAGCCCACACCACGATATAATAATAATTGTGAATAATGTATATATATCTGTCACATATGAGGTTCTCGAAGCATGTGTGCATATTAAATCGCTCTCGAAATTACCGTGGGGGGAATGAAATGATAATTTTCATCTACTCACTGAAAAATGGACGTTTGCTCCCTCATTTGAGGAAACAAAGTTGATGCCAATTTACTTCCACGGATCGACGAAAACCGAATTTTTTCTTAGTATTTCAACTCCCTATAGCTCGAAAGGTTTTCGGCATAATTATGATCGTATGAACCTTTTCTTTTTCTCAAAATGAGCTGATCATATTCTATATTTTTAGTTATCAATCAAATGACACCCTGTATGTATATAGATAGGGTGTTTCCTAACTACGGTACGATACTTCAGATTATGACTTGACTTGAAATGAAAGGAGTAAAAAGTAGGTACCAAGTTTGATACAAGAAAAATAGTCCAAAAGGTTGAATTTCTAGTTGCTCAATCTAAAAAAAAAAAAAAAAAAACGAAATACTGCAGAGATAATTTAGTAATGTACTTTTTTTTCAATATCATTGGCTGTGGTGCCCACTGATGGTTGATGAGACGCCACTGGACATAATAATTTCAATCTAGTTAGGGCTAAATAAGCGCCTTATTCAAATACCTAATTATACCCAATTTCAACCAATTCGGTTTTATTTTTAAACCTGTACTCGCAGTCCAAAAAAACAGAATAATTTTTCAACTTGTTATGAAAATTATTATTATAGAAATCCTGATGAAAAACCAAGTGCACTTACTTGAGAATGTGACATCTTGATCGAGTGTAACTTCCTCCAATTGACTGGGGCTCGTACTGAAAGAAAAAATAATGTTAGTTCAATCAAAATGTATGTCAAAGTAGTAAAAAACTTATTTTCAACAAATTTACAAATGAAATGTCTGAAAGTCACGTTGAAGAAATATTATTGAAACGTATTCACATAACGTTATTGTCATAACCTAATGACAACGTTGAAAACACGGATAAATGCTCATTGAAATTTCATTATCTGGGAAAAAATCGTCGAAAAATATGCTTGCTGAGTTCTGAGCACTCAATGGAAGATTAAAATTAATTTAACTCGAACAAAAAAAACAGTATTGCTAGTTTTATTTCAAAGAATGGTTACCTCGACTAGGGTGCAATTTTTCGAAAAATCATTATTTTTGCCTTTTCTATTCACGGTAGAAAAAGTAGATAAACTTTGCAAATTTGTTATTATCCAATTCAGTATCATTTCCGAACCCAACTCATCAAGATTCTTCCCGTCAAAATAAATTGTTGAGCAGATACCGTGAAACTGAAGTAGTGAATATTTCAGAGGCATAAGCCCAATTTATGTCTCGAAAGACCAAAAAGGCCATAACCTCAACAATAAATACATGTAAACAACGTGCAAAAGCTCGTAAAATTAGCAGACCGACGAATGGTCCTTTTGCACTAGTGAAAGAGACGTGTCACGTCACTGCACTGGTTCACACTCACCTATACAGAAATATACGGGGTGGGGTGTCTCATAAGTACATGCCCCAAAACTCGAGATTGAGTAAGGTCGTACAGGTGAAAAATACTGAAAGTTCAAGTACATATTTCTTTTAGCCATGTCATCAGATTTCCTGAACGTTTCTGTATCAAAAAGGCACTCTTGTTTGATATCGAAGAGGTTTTCCAGAAAAATGGGTTTAAAGGATAGAGGAACACAAAATAATTGTACGTTTTCAAGGTTGCCACTATACTTCTAGTGAGTAAAAACGGCTAGATTCGGGTTTAGGTCCATCGATTTTTTTTTAATCTTCTGTTGATCTATGCGTTGTTCGAAATTGTTGAATTTCAGAGCTCATTTCAAACGTACTGTCATGGCTACCATTTGGCGATACCGCGAATAAATGGTGACTTCAGGTTTTATGCTGTTTCGTTATTGGTCCGATAATCTTCCATTCCCACTCATGAAACAAGGTTGCAGAGTCACCAGTTATAATCAAGGTATCAAAAAGATGTTAGAGTCGGCTATCGTTGAATAAAACATAATAAGAGGTACCCATGATGTTATAGTTCATTCTTGACTTTCTCGAGCAAACAGCATGTCCAAATATTTCCTATACTACATAACAAAATATCATGTAAATGTTGGAGACTTGGCAACATTGTGCTGAATGCTGAGAACTGACAAGACCACGCCCACAACTCGGGCGCCATTTTGAGACAATTGATTTTCTATTGCTAATTAGGAATATTACCAATACATAATAATTGAGAATTGATGAAATATTGAATAACTAATATTTCTGAAGTTCGCAATCGTATTTCAAGATATAGCAAAGTGCTATGGTCTACCCCTACTCACGAAATCATGACGTCAGTTTTTACTCGCGGCAAATTTATAGCCGTTTGAAAATTACCGTGGCATTATTGATGATTTTAGCACCTTGAAATCGACCAAAAAATTCTAAAAAAACATTAAATTGAAAGGTATTTGAGTGATGATTCTTAGTCTACTCGCCTATTTTGAAGTAATGAATTGAAAATCTCTCGGAGAATCTCAAAAAATTCGTAGCCAATTGCATTTCTTTTCTTTTTAGCGAGTGCAATTTCCATATTATCTTGAATGTGATGATTTTGAGTAGAATTAGTTGACTGAAAAAAATATACAGGGTGAAATGACTTTTTGATTTCCTTTTAATGAAAGACCCATCCGTTAATATCGCGAAATTTTCAAATTGGTATCTGCTGTATAGTGAATCTAGTCGATTGTGAAGTGTCGTGTGAACTAAGCCGTCTACATAACGATTATCTGGATTCTTCTTTCAGACAGGAAGAGTAGCATCTTGAAGGCACTCTAAATATATCTACATAGAAGTGCGTCGCCCACATTAATTTGATTTTCCTTTGACTTTCCTCCTTTTGCCACGGTTGGTTTTTCGTTTTTTCTGTCAATTACCAGGTTTCCACGCCTCTGGCATACTGGCAACAGTCGCATTTTTCCCTTTTAATTAAAAATAATGACCGTTGTGCCTGTTGAGTCTGTTTTACCTAGACACAAACAGATTTCTGTAACTTCAGACGAATTATTTGTGTAATTTTGTTTCAATATGGCTACTTTTTTTACATTTTAAATGAAGGCAAAGTTGCACAATTTTATGCCTAACAGAATGCCGTTTTGAAATTCGAAGAATTCCAAATACTTCCGAAGATTTTTGGAAAAAACGAGGGAAAAATAGAATATTCGCGAAAAGTCTTGCACCAAATCTGATTCCTGATTCGTTTTTAACATGTCAAAATTAGTGTCTTTGGAGTTTTTCAGATGTGTAGAACGCTCAGGAAGAAAAAATATTTTTCGACCTGAACTAACCTATATTATCATGAATTGCTATTTTTGAAAATTTCAACGAAAAGTCTTGGACCAAATCTGATTCCTGATTCGTTTTCAACATGTCGAAATTAGTGACTTTGGAGATTTTCAGATGTGTGGGACACTCGGGGAGAAAAAATAGTTTTCGACCTGAACTAACCTATATTATCATGAATTGCCATTTTTGAAAATTTTAACGAAAAGTCTTGGACCAAATCTGATCCCTGATTCGTTCTTAACATGTCAAGATAAGTGCCTTTGGAGTTTTTCAGATGTGTAGGACGCTCGGGGAGACAAAATATTTTTCGACCTGAACTAACCTATATTATCAAGAATTGCTATTTTTGAAAATTTTAAAGAAAAATCTTGCACAAAATCTGATTCCTGATTCGTTTTTGACATGTCAAAATTAGTGACTTTGAAGATTTTCAGATGTGTGGGACACTCGGGGAGAAAAAATAGTTTTCGACCTGAACTAACCTATATTATCATGAATTGCTATTTTTGAAAATTTCAACGAAAAGTCTTGGACCAAATCTGATTCCTGATTCGTTTTCAACATGTCAAAATTAGTGACTTTGGAGATTTTCAGATGTGTGGGACACGCGGGGAGAAGAAATATTTTTCGACCTGAACTAACCTATATTATCATAAATTGCCATTTTTGAAAATTTTAACTAAAAGTCTAGGACCAAATCTGATTCCTGATTCGTTTTTTACATGTCGAAATAAGTACCTTTGGAGTTTTTCAGATGTGTAGGACGCTCGGGGAGAAAAAATATTTTTCGACCTGAACTAACCTATATTATCATAAATTGCCATTTTTGAAAATTTTAACTAAAAGTCTAGGACCAAATCTGATTCCTGATTCGTTTTTTACATGTCGAAATTAGTACCTTTGGAGTTTTTCAGATGTGTAGGACGCTCGGGGAGAAAAAATATTTTTCGACCTGAACTAACCTATATTATCATGAATTGCCATTTTTGAAAATTTCAACGAAAAGTCTTGGACCAAATCTGATTCCTGATTTGTTTTTAACATGTCGAAATTAGTATCTTTGTAGTTTTTCAGGTGTGTAGGACGCTCGGGGAGAAAAAATATTTTTCGACCTGAACTAACCTATATTATCATGAATTGCCATTTTTGAAAATTTTAACGAAAAGTCTTGGACCAAATCTGATTCCTGATTCGTTTTTAACATGTCGAAATTAGTATCTTTGTAGTTTTTCAGGTGTGTAGGACGCTCGGGGGGAAAAAATATTTTTCGACCTGAACTAACCTATATTATCATGAATTGCCAATTTTGAAAATTTTAACGAAAAGTCTAGGACCAAATCTGATTCCTGATTCGTTTTTGACATGTCGAAATTAGTATCTTTGTAGTTTTTCAGGTGTGTAGGACGCTCGGGGAGAAAAAATATTTTTCGACCTGAACTAACCTATATTATCATAAATTGCCATTTTTGAAAATTTCAACGAAAAGTCTTGGACCAAATCTGATTCCTGATTCGTTTTTAACATGTCGAAATTAGTATCTTTGTAGTTTTTCAGGTGTGTAGGACGCTCGGGGAGAAAAAATATTTTTCGACCTGAACTAACCTATATTATCATGAATTGCCAATTTTGAAAATTTTAACGAGAAGTCTAGGACCAAATCTGATTCCTGATTCGTTTTTAACATGTCGAAATTAGTATCTTTGTAGTTTTTCAGGTGTGTAGGACGCTCGGGAAGAAAAAAGATTTTTTGACCTGAACTAACCTATATTATCATGAATTGCCATTTTTGAATATTTCAACGAAAAGTCTTGGACCAAATCTGACTCTTGATTCGTTTTTAACATGTCAAAATTAGTATCTTTGTAGTTTTTCAGGTGTGTAGGACGCTCGGGAAGAAAAAATATTTTTCGACCTGAACGAACCTATATTATCATGAATTGCCATTTTTGAAAATTTTAACTGAAAGTCTAGGACCAAATATGATTCCTGATTCGTTTTTAACATGTCGAAATTAGTATCTTTGTAGTTTTCCAGGTGTGTAGGACGCTCGGGGAGAAAAAATATTTTTCGACCTGAACTAACCTATATTATCATGAATTGCCAATTTTGAAAATTTTAACGAAAAGTCTAGGACCAAATCTGATTCCTGATTCGTTTTTGACATGTCGAAATTAGTATCTTTGTAGTTTTTCAGGTGTGTAGGACGCTAGGACAGAAAAAATATTTTTCGACCTGAACTAATAACCTATATTATCATGAATTGCCATTTTTGAAAATTTTAACGAAAAGTCTTGGACCAAATCTGATTCCTGATTCGTTTTCAACATGTCGAAATTAATATCTTTGTAGTTTTTCAGGTGTGTAGGACGCTCGGGGAGAAAAAATATTTTTCGACCTGAACTAACCTATATTATCATGAATTGCCAATTTTGAAAATTTTAACGAAAAGTCTAGGACCAAATCTGA